CGGCGACGGGGGAGCATTTGAAACGGCCTCCACACTTTGCGGCAGCGCCTACCAGCGACCAGTAGCGTCCACCAGCGACGTGAGCGTCCGGCAGTGTCAGCCACTAGGACGCATCGATCTAGCTAGTGGGTACCAGCGATTAGCGGCTTCTCGGAGGGTAAGCATAGCTATCAATCTAGCGTCTGTCAGTGTCTAGCAATGACCAGCAGCGTCCGCGCGTAAAGATATTAGGTGATGAGAGAGTACCAGCTGTCTGCTACCTCCTGCCTATACTCTCCACTCCCGGACGCTGCAGGTCGCTGGTAGACACTAGCAGACCAGGGCACAGCATTGGTTGGGGATTCCCTATGGGGGGGGTCGTATTTGGCCGCCAAAAGGGGGGTCGTATTTGGGCTGGGAAAAATTTATTTTTATAGTTGATTTTTCTCGCTTTGCGGACGTTTTGGAGGGGGGGGGGGTCGTATTTGGTCGTTGTTGGGAGGGGAGGGTCGTATTTGGTCGTTGGTGGGAGGGGGTCGTATTTCTGGCTAGGAGTTACGTGGGCATGGGGGGGGTCGTACCAGCCCCTGAAAAAGGGGGGGGTCGTAAAAGCTCGACCAAAATCCCCATCGAATGCTGTGCCCTGTAGCAGACGCTAGGTCGATAACTACACTTTAGTCGCTGACGCTACCGGTGAGCGTGTTGGAATACCGGTGGGCGCTATTGGTCGCTGGTGGATTCTGCCGCAAAGTGAAGCAGCTTAACTTTCTTGTTACTTCCAATAGACGTGCCGAAGCTTTGAGTGGTCAGCCAAAGTTTATCTCTATAAACTAAATCTGTAAGCTTTGTTCAAGATACTTGTCAACTCTTTGAGGCAATGAACACAGGAATGGGAGGCGTCGAGAGCGCAAAATGCCCGTTCCCACTTTCTGTGTCCGAACTACGCCCCAAGGCTGCAGATTCTCTAGTCTAGGTTAATTAGTTAGTGCCGAGCTGTCCTGATGAAACAAACGCTGACAAAAGAGGTTCTTCATCTACACAACATGATAAGCTGGCCAGATCGAGCTCATTTGCCGTCCCTTTTTGTCCTTGGATTTGGACTGCATTTTACATTGAATTTAAAGTCATCGTTCGTTCGGTACTACCCTGACGGGTCTCTCTCTTGGAGACTCCCAAATATCCTATGATTTTTGAAACTGAATACCAGCTGTTCGGTGCTGATAAACCTTTATTGAGATCCATCACACTACTTCCAGTCATGATTGGCGGTGACATATGGAATGTCAAACCTATGAATGGTGCAGGCTGATGTACATCTCTTTACTTTATCGTCTCAAATGTAGAGGTCCGGAGCAAGTCTCCTCTCGCGGGAACTAGCGGTATACTGGATGTGACTGGACTGAGGCTCAGAGCATCAGCGTTCTTTTGTTTTCAGTTATGCTGACTGTGGAGGCGTTCATACATTACAACGCGAAAGGATCGGTGTTTTAGGAGAATCGGCGTTTTGGTAGAAGGCTCAAAAAGAAAAGCATTGGTATCTGTCTGGCGTTTCGAGCGGTAAGAAAAGTATAGGTACTTTTACTGAAGAACAGCGACTGTTGTTTTGGGAGAATTCGCGTCTTGTGCGCGATTGATACCCTTACTAACTTTTTCGCTCAATACGCCAATTCTGTCAAAGTGGCAGATTGATACCTGTGGTTTTCTCTTCGCGCATTCTCCCAAAAGGACGTTGCACAAGGGAGATTCCTCTGAGTCGCAAAGTATGACCACAGCCGGGTCTTTTGGTGATACAGTCTAGTTCGCTGCGGACGAAAGGGCGTGTCGTGCGGGATGAGTTTGGCACGGTGCCACACCTGTCCTTCACAGGTTGTTGAAGCGAGCAAGTGAGGCTACTGTATCATATTTCCACTAGTTGTCGTCGGGTGTGTGTCAGGACTCACCGCCGCGCCCGAAACTAGGTCGCCGCGCTGGGAAGTGGGTCACCGCGCGCGGCGATTACATGCTTTAACATGTTTGCATGTTTGAACATGTCTACCTGTTTGGACATGTTCTTGGCAGATGGAAGATGAGGAAAAGAGAGAACGCTACAAGCAAATGGCGATAGGGTCGTATTGATCGGAAGTTGGCAAAATGCCAGGTCAGGACTCACCGCCGCGCCACGCGGACAGGTCGCCGCGCGCGGTGACCTAGTTTCAAGCGCGGCGGTGACTCCTGGCCGTCTCCCACTGTCGTCGCATACCCGCTTCAGCAACTGGCAGAGAACGAGTTAAACTATGTGGCACACTCATACTGCCTAACACGCCCCTCCATCCGTAACGAACTAGAGCATACATCACTGCAAACTCAGCTGGTTATTCCGTTTCTTAGTTTCCGCGTCCAGATATGCCGTACTGCAATCCTACTATATAATCCGCTATGTCCATATGTGTGCCTGTCTCTCTGTCTGTCTGTCTGTTTGTCACGAAATTCACAGCGCTGCTCCCAGCGATGGTGGAACGTTGGCCCAAGATATTATATAGGGTATGGGATAGGAACTTTATTGGTGGGTGACAAGAAGTGATAACAGTTGATAATATTTGATAAGGGGCGTTAGGAAGTGCGAGTCATCGAATTCATAGCGCCGCTCACAGCAATAGTGGAACGTTGTCCTACTATACACTGCTCCACATAATGATAGTTCCACCCATAAATATTACAAAATCCCGTCTTACATGAGGTTTTCAAAAATGCTCACATAGAAAATGAGGTAATAATCAATACCACTTTGCATGCCAACACCGGGAACTGACTTGAAAGAACAAGGTTTTTTTTGTTCATTTTTTTGAAAATTGACACTCTGACAATTCCACAAAATGATAGTTCCACCAAACAAATCGAATATTCTGCCAACAAGTGCACAATAAAATGAATAAATTTTGATCCAGTAATCTACTGGAACTCTATTTCTCCAATTAAGTTGGAAAATACGGTTGCCCATGTTCGATTAGAGATTTTAATAGGCTGTCGGCCGACTGCCCCAATGATTAACTCCTAAGCTCACGGACCTTGTGGAATTGTGCATTACTCTCATGGATCATACGCACCATGAAGCCCCTCACATCCTCGATTGGGTTTTACTCGCTGGCCAGGGCAAAAGAGCGGTTTGGTGACGACTGAACCACGCTCGAGTGCTTCGACTGTCATGAACTGGTGCATTATCCTGCATGAAAACGGGACTTTCTTGCTGATTTCTACGCCAGAAAGCAAGGAGACGTCGTCGCATGACTTTTAGGTAACGGAAGAAATCATTTCTTTTTTCATACGGAGCGCAGTTTCAGACGTTCCATTGATGCGATGGCAGCCCAGACCATGAGACCACATCCACTGAAGTTCTGCCCGGAAAAATGAAACTTGTCTTCCCTCAGGTCGTACCAGCGGAATCGGTTCTCGTCGGAGCCGTCGCAGTTGAACTTTTCCTCATCAGAAAACACGACCGCGAGAAAAAAAACTGAAAAAACAACGTAGACAAGCAGTAGGGCGCCGCAGCCAAAAGCCAACCTCACTTCATTGGGCTCGGCAACATCTTCAAGCAAAGCCAATTAGGTTTTCCCGATGGTTTTTCGTTAGAAACAGTACGTAACTCATAGTCCTCCTATGGGGAGTTTTTCAAGAGACGCCTGAGGTATTCTCCGAGACATTTGACCTCCGAAGATGTCTTGATTTCGCGACACGACACTGCAGAGTTGGATGCTTTCCAAGGATACGGCGGTTATTCCGATCGGGCAGCAAAGGAGGATGTCCAGAGCTCTTCTCAGCTCAATATCCTGTGGGTCCCTTGGAAAAAAATCGTTGATAGCATGATGAGTGCGGCCCGCATCCAGCCATTCGACGGTTCGACAGTTTTCGAGTCTTCTTTGCGATTATCTGTCCTTTTTTAAGAGCCGATAATAAATGTCTTGCCATAGCCTAGAAAAGGCAAAGACACAATAATTAGACAGTTTTACCCAACAAAAAAAGATGCAGAAAAAAAGAAGAAAAAACATGAGGTGGAACTATCATTTTGTGGAATTGTCAGAGTGTCAATTTTCAAAAAAATGAACAAAAAAACCTTGTTCTTTCAAGTCAGTTCCCGGTGTTGGCATGCAAAGTGGTATTGATTATTACCTCATTTTCTATTGAGGACATTTTTGAAAACCTCATGTAAGACGGGATTTTGTAATATTTATGGGTGGAACTATCATTATGTGGAGCAGTGTATGTAATCCGCTTCCGTTCGTGTGTGTCTGCCTGTTTGTCACGAAATTCAAAGCGCTGCTCCCAGCGATGGTGGAACGTTGGCCCAAGATATTATATAGGGTATGGGATAGGAACCTTGGTGGTGGGTGACAAGAAGTGATAACAGTTGATACGATGGGATAAGGGGCGTGTGAAAGTGCGGGCCACACAATTATTGCGCCGGCCTCAGTAAGCTATCGAGGCCGATGGAGATTGCTGCCACGCGGGTCTTTTCGTCACGATGTAGCAACCTCAAACTTGGGTAATTAAACTTTTATCTTTCAACCAACATTTACAAACACCAAGGCGAGATGGATACGGTAAACCTGAAATGAAATCGATTACGGTAGTGAAGCTGAAAAGTGCAAATGAGTAAACAGTACAAGCGACCAGCTCGGCCCTATTTATGCATCTGAAAGGGGGCGGGTCCCGAGCTGGCATTTGATGAAGCTACAGATAGTGCTTTATGTTGAAAGTTCATGCTACTGATCAGCCAACTGATTAGCTTAGAAGCGCTTACAGAAATGAGTCATCATGAGAGACAAGGAAAATTACAAATGGATTACATGTAAAGAAATGTAAAAAATAGAGAAGTTATTCTCTATACTCCGGCCGGCAAAACAATCGAATAAGGCATGAGATAGAACCAGTCAGAATAAAGGAGATAATATATCAGAGATATCTTAAGGGCTACACCGGACAAAGGATGCATATCTCGAGATCAACGGCAACATCGAGAGAGATCTAGCTTCTTGTTCCGATCGTCCTTAATCCCGTCCCTCCTTGGCCTTGTCGCGCCTGTCAGTGTCCCTTGCACGTCTTGCGCGGCTTCCGTCCTCGTGTCTGCTACGGTGAGAGTTCTCGGGATATCGGCTTCTGCGCGACTCCCTTGTCGGGGAGGTACGGCGTGGGTCTCGAGGATGCAGCACGTGGCGACTGTTGCTCGATGGTGGAGTACGGTGTGAGTCTCGTGGAGGTGGAGTACGACGTGAGTCTCGTGGAGGTGGAGTACGACGTGAGTCTCGTGGAGGTGGAGTACGACGTGAGTCTCTCGGTGGTGGAGTGCGACGTGAGTCTCTCGGTGGTGGAGTGCGACGTGAATTCCTTGAGGGTGGAGTACGGCGCGAATCTCTCGGCGGTGGACTCCGGTGCGAGTTCCTCGACTGCTGAGTTCGACGCACATCTTCATGAGGATGAGAATCGTCCCGATGCGGCGAGTCGCTGGGCTTGCTCTCGCGTTGAATGTTGTCGTCGCATACATGTGTTGCTTCACTCCTGCTGGGAGTGAGCTCCACCGGGGCGTCTGTTGCGCGCGAAGAGACTGGAGTTAGGTGCTTTTCCAGCTCAGTCATACGGACGTTCATGAGATTCATCTCGAACGCAATTTTTTTAATGTCGGGCAACTCCAGCTTCTCGTTGATCTCCCTGACGTTCGACAGCAACTCATCGAGTCTCACTCCGAGTGCGCAATGGTTTTCCGTGATATCATCTGCTGTAACACTCTTGTCGAGCTTGCCGTGCATATCCTTCAATTTTTCCTCTAGATCTTTCAGCTTTTTCTCTATCTTCTCCATCTTCTCGAGTCCTTCCACATGCGATGTCACCGCTGGTGCAAATTCATCTGCTTTCGATGCTGCGAGTCTGAGGATCTTGCTCCCTTCTTGAAGGAGCTCTTTCAGCAGCGTTCCGGATGCCCGTCCTCTCTTACTGACTGGTGCGTCCGTGTTCTCATGCTCAGAAATGGATGGTCTCTTACGCGAATTTCCTGTCGCCGGTGCTGTTGGCTTGCCAGCTGGTGGCTCTGCTGGATTCACTGAAGGCTTTGGCAGCTTGGGCGGAACAGGTCGCTTGCTGGTAGTTGTTGCAGTCGTTCCTACGGCTGTTTCTGGTGCGATCGTCGTGCCGGTTGGAGCTTCCATGCTGGCTAAAATAGAGATATATGGAGGTATGTTCTTTTTTTTTCTAACTGCGTGTGAACATGCGGTGCGTAACATGCGACACTGGGAAACATGCAGGAACATGCCATACAGTCAGAGACGTTTCTTAGGACTTCTTCTCTCTTGGCCAAAGGATCGCGCCCTTATTAGCAACCTCCGGACAATAGCGAAGGTAAGTTTTACGAAACCAGTGAAAATCCGTATGAGGATCTTGAGTATCCCGAGGAGGACCTTGACGCCGCACGTCCAGAAAATGATGTAGCCGATGAATATCGCTGCGACGAATGCTAGTGCTACGCCTACGACTGCCTTGTACCACGTCCAGAAAATGTCTGCTATGTGGAAAAGGTCCGGTAACACGATTTCGTCGTATACGTTGCTCCTGCCGTTGATGATACTTGCTACTGAACCGTGAATAGTTCGAACCCATTTCAAAGTGCCTGTGAGCTCGAACGTGGTACCCGTTGATCCGCGTTCGACCCTGCAGGTTTTCTTTATTCTTGCCGTTGTAGCACTGAAAGTGAGTGTTGAAGTTTGCCCTGTTGCGTTGCATGGAATCGAAAAGAAGTCGTCTCCGCATTGTACTGTAGCCATCGTCTTTTTCCCGTCCGTTCTGCATGTCACTGTCGCGAAAGCTCCCTGAGGGAACTTGTCCTTGAGGTGAATGAGGAGTTCTGCTGATACGAAAGCTGGAATGGTGGCTACCACGGAAGATCTATCCTGTTCCGACTGTTCGAAAAGTACCCACGGTCTTCGAGCGGGTAAGCGGTTCTCTAATTCGTTCTCAAACACGTCTGTGATATTGATGTCGTTGCAAAGGCAGTTGATTTTGCTTTCCGCTGGTTCGCATAAGCAGTTGGGGTTCGTCGAGCAGTTCAGTGCGCGTGCTGCTTCTTGTGAATCGCATATGAGGGTCGGCATCGCATCGTGTCTCCAAACTGCGAGATTGGATCCATCGCTAATGAACGCTGACGATAACTCCGGCGTGGGTGGCATAGTCACAGACGCAATGGTGAGGTCCATGCCCTCGATTTTCAGCGGGATCGTTGGTTGTAGAGAGAGCCCTCTACCACTGAGCCGCCGACCGTCTCCCGTCAAGATCGTGACCATTATTCGTGCGTGCTGCTTCCACTGCCTGCATCTGAAAATCTCGTACACCTTGTCGTCTGTCGGTACGTTGAATATGCGATAGAATAGGCATCCGCTACTGATGAGTAGGCATCCACATCCTGGGCCGCCGCAACTTTCCACGCACCTCGTGATCCCTGGATAATCGTTGCCTTGTTCCAACTCGACGAGTTTTGTCGTGGTGTTCACCGAGGCGCATTTGAGGCCCGTGCACGACCCAGAGTGTGGGCATCTTTTGGAGTCGACTACCCTTTGGACTGAGTTCCGGGTGAAGAGGATGTCTTCTTTTACGCAGGTGAGTTGCAGCGCTTTCCACTGAAGTCGAATTTCTTTGACCAGTGACTCGTTGTTTGAGACGCGAATGCAGGCTTCTTGGTGAAAACTGTTCAGTTTGAATATCTCAATGTTTTCGAATACGCATTCCTTCGACCCGGATGGTGTGAAGGAACAAATTGTAGTGTGGTGATGTAAGACGTCGATGTTACGACATGCCGCTGTGGTTCCTGGCACGCGGCGATGATTGGCGCCCTTAACAGCAGGTCCACTTCTGGTCTGTGTCGTCGCCTGCGCTGCCGCACTAGTGCTAGAAGTCCCCTTATGACAAATCCTATGCTCCTGAGGAAAAGCCATACGATCCTACTTATTATCCGGCACGGTTTCCCAACAACGATTGGCACATAGCAGACCAGGTACACCGTAGCAACCACGCCGTACAGGATAACTGCGCTTGCAATTATGGCTGTCCTCGGAGAGCATTCCGGATTGAAGATATTAGCTGTACAAAACCAACACTGGACATTGTCGCAGAAGGAAACTGGTGGGCAGGTGGTGTCAAGGGTGGTCATCCGCTTGCCATCCGAGAATTTCCACAGTACATGATGATCGTGGAGCGTCACCTCCGGTGAGAAAAGAATGGTCTCCTTTATATCCGGATTCTCCTTGACTTGACAGTGTTCCTTCGTACACAATTCGTAGCGACGTATGTTCTGTGATTCGAGTTGTACTCCACCCGGTATGCATCTCATTTGTCCTCGTGCTAGAGTCGTGTTCTCCAACGACACTTCCGCGGATACACTCTGGACTATGGTCATTATGGCCAGAACTAACAGACTTATTGCCGAAGTTCTAGCAAAGCTGACTGTACTCGCACTCGCACTGCAAGAGTGTACGTCACTCCTCTTTGTCCGCGGTCTGAGATTGTACCGTGATGGTTCGCTAAGCTTGCTGTGCGGTATGTCTTTCTCTTCTGCCGAGTGTTCCCTCGCCATTTGATCACCGACTTCCTCTGCTTGCTGTTGAAGCTCCAGTGGTACCAGCAAATTCACAGGGACGACGAGCCGTGCGTCCGCTTGGTAGACG